TCAGCCAAGCAGTGGCTTGATACAACCATCCTTGGTAAGTTTGGTTAAAAAAATTGACATTAAAAAAAAAATTGGTATCCAATTTTCTTTTAAATTGTCTGAATTTTGACATTGTCCTTTTTTTGCCACAGCATAACATTTTTATAATTTAATTCATCCTATCTATAAGGAGAGGAAGGCTGTTTGAATTTTGACATTATTCACTTTTCATTTTTTTCTGTGTATTTTTTATGTACTGCTGATTGTATCCGACAATCTACAATACAAGTCAAGATAACGACTTCTGAATAAAGTTGAATCTTACTTTAGAAAAGAGCGACCCAAAGCAAAATATCTTTTTTTTTTCCTTTTTTGAGGAATGCAGAGCATCTTTCAAGAAACAAGAGCCACAAAAGTGTAAAGTCTATCTTTATGCATCCCAATTCGGGCTGTTTGGAACCGAGTTTTTTGACCAAGTTTTTTAGCTACTAGTTTTTTAACAATTTTAGCTACAGGAACCCAAAAAAAATTAATAAATTTTTTAATCTATACACTTCAAAATATCTAATACACAAAAAACTTCCTCTTTTCTTCTTCTTTCTCCCCCACCCCGATCCACCACACCTTCATCGCCGGCCACCACCTCCGCCGCTGCTTCCGGCGTCGGCGTTCCCTTTTTTTCTCCCTTCCTTTCTCCCTCTCTCTCTCCCTCTCCCTCTCTCCTTCCCTCCCCTCTCCCCCTCTTCTCAAATCCCCCTCCCCTCCCTGGCCACCCTCCCCTTGGCGCCGCGCCACCAGATCCCCCTCCCCTCTCTAGCCATCCTCCCCTCGACGCCGCGCGACCAGATTGGGCAAAAGGGGAGAGAAAAGCAAAAAAAAAAAATTGAAAAAACTTCCACTGCCGGTTCTCTAGCTTCGGGAGGGAGAGGGGGAGGGTGAAGGGGAGTAGAGGGAGAGAGGGGAGCAGAGAGGGAGAAGAGGGGAAGAGAAAAAGAAAAAAAAAATTTGGGCGTGTAGGCTGCTGGTTCTTCAACGAGGCAGAGGTGGCGGGGGAGGGAAGTGGGAGGGAGAAGAAGAAGAAGAAGAAGAAGAGGAGGAGGAGGAGGAGGAGGAGGAGAAGGAGGAGGAGGAAAGAAAAGAAAAAAGAAAGAAAGAAAGAGAAAAAGAAAGAAAAGAAAAAAAAAATTGGTAGAACCATGGCTGCTGGGGAGGCAGAGGTAATGGGGAAGGGGGACGGGAAAGAAAGAAGAAGAGAGGAAAGAAAAAAAAAGTTTTTCATCTTAAAAATTTTTTTCAAAAACTTTTACAGTGTACTACAGTAAAGTTTTAAACAAACTTTCAAAAAACTCGGGTTCCAAACAGGGCTTCTCGAAAAGGGCTTCATACGCAAATACATAAACAAAACAAACACGCTATTCCATCTGGGACGGTTGGTCCGCCATGGAAGGACAGTCTATCAATTACTCGTGTGAGCCATCAAAGAGTACAAGTGTGAGCCATTACAGAGTTGTGAGGTCAACCTTGAAAAAATTCATAAAGCAAACAAGAAAAGTTTTGAAAATTATAAGTTGGTCATGCATTTACACCCCTTCAAATTTCTTGGATTTCCTTTCTCCTTTATATAGTCCCCCTAATTTTCAAAGTAATTGCATTTATTACCTCCTTTGAACGTGAATTCATTCAAAATGATATTATATGTTGTTTAAATCAAATAAAGAATTCTAAAACTTAGTAAGAATGGTTGAATAATCTTCATTTGAATTCATCTATCACGAATTATAATTGTCTAGTACACAGAAATATTAATCGCATCGCTGTTTCAAAATTATCATCATCCCTGAATTTTTTTTGTAGATTTGAACATATTGGCACGACCTTTGTATCAGTTATCGTGGTTCGCTATACAATTGTCTAGTACATCAGAAAATTTTTGCCTTAGATGGTAATGTAATGTATATTAAAGTAATTGTCCCTAACCTTTGGATCTTGATTTCACCGTTGCCTCTGTGAAGAATATACTATATATACACATATATTGTATAACAAAAATATGTATTTATTATAGAAGTACACATAATATTTGTGCTGTGAGTGCTGCGAGAAATGTGATAGAAACATCACCTAGTGCAATTGCAATATGAGACTCTTAGAGGCACCTGGTGAAGATCGATCTACCTTGTGTCAAATTTTGTTCACAAAATGTACAATTACCATAACTGTTGATGGGTCAAATTTGGCCAAGAAAACAAAAACTTAATTAAGAAATTGCACAGTTTGTTTGTGAAGAACTATTTAAAAATCTATATGCTGTCCAATAGTGGAACCACTGCCCCAAAACTGCCGGGTGACAATGTGAAATCTGAAGGCACTATGCACCCAGAAGACGCATAAAGAAGGCCAAATGAAGCAACAAAATGATACTAGTCATGAGGTTAGTACCAATATCTCATAGAATTGCTCAAGTACAAAAGTGAATGAGAAAACACAGGGCGAGCACTTGAACCTTATTTTGTTTTTTTTTTCTTTTTCTGTTTTTTGGTCAGGCTGCACATGAAATTAGGGTAAGAATGATAATTATCTTTATATTGACGTGTCCTGATGTCGTTATATGTTACCTAAAATCTGAACCAGAACGAAATTTTCTGGACTTTCCGTTGATTTTTTTAGCCCACACCGGCATTGGGCGTTCGAAATCCTCCTTAAACAGCATTGAATTTGAGTGTAGCGTGGGAGGCTGATATGAATTTTTGCTGCATAGCAAGTTTGGAAGTATATTTATACTTTTACTTTTTCTAAGAAGGAATATCTTGGAAACATTAGAAAATAAAAGACTGTCTATACCAGATAAGCATCAGCATTAAATTACCAAAACTTTGCAGTTTTTGTACTGAAATCTAGAATCCCTTCACAAGGCAATTGGGAAAAAAAAAAAAAAAAGAAGAAGCAGAAATATAACCAATAATATTTTGGAAAAAACTGCTTTCAAGTTCAAGATGATTTTAAATTTAAAAAGCAGAAAGACAATGACATTCTTAGTGGAATGTTTACTAGTTTTCCTATTTTTTTAGTAGCTTTTGGAGTTAAAATGGACTAAAATTATTCAGATTGTCCTTATTGTCCCCCTTCTAAGAAAGGAAAAGGAAAAATTTTAGCAAGAGACGAGTCATTAAGCAGTTATCATTTTGGCATCCATTTTGTTATTTTCCACATTAATCCTTATAGCAAGCAAATTTGAAATTCTACCATATACCATACATCTAATCTACCATATATATACATATACTAACAATCATTACCCTCCATTCCATTTATATATTTTTTCTATTTAATCTTACCTACGTACCCCTTTTTTGTTTATTTATTTTCCCTAATTAATCTTACATTTTCAAAAATATGATATTTGAAATATATCTTAACAAGTATCCTAACCCCAAAAACAAAAAAGAAAGAAAAACAAAAGTTTAAGGGCAAAATATCCCAATGGCTCTCAAACCATTACGAATTTAACTTTTGACCCTCCAACGATTAATTGATAAGTTTTAGTCTTCCAACTAATTAAAACATATAATCATAAACCTTCCATCAACTTGAGTTGTTATATCTTATAGAAATAGCACAATATGCACAATAGTAGCTCTTAAACTATTATAAAATTCAACTTTTGGCCCTCCGACTATTAAATAATAAATTTTACCCCTCTAACTAATTAAAAGGTATAATTCTAACCCTTTGGTCAACTTAAGTCATTATGTTGAACAATACATCACTGCAAGTGCAACAGGTGCATAATTGAGGGACGTTTTCGTCTTCATAGAAAATGTGCTAGGGTAAAATTGTTTTATCCCCATTTGAATAATAAACTAATTTACCAAATCTCCAATTGCTGAACTTGAGCACAATCAATGAAAACCAAAACCCTAAACAAAGAATTTTCGGCAAGGATAGGCAACTTGAAGAAATTAAGTTGCTTTCGTTTGGAATTTAACTAATTTTTCGGTGTTGTTCCAAATTTACTGGGTTCATGTGCTTCTCTTAATGGCATAAATTCAGCGTACAATTCATTTTTTGGGAATATTCCAATAGGTTTTGGTTCCTTCTCAAGCTTGAATTGTCTAAATCTTTCAAATAACCAATTCTTAGCTTTATATCACTACATCAAACCTTCTTGATTTGTCAAACAATAGGTTAGTTGGGTACATCCCAGATTCTTTATCAATAGATGTTTCTATTTGATATAATGACTCAAGTTGATGAAAGAGCTAGGATTATACATTTTAATTAGTTTGAGAATTAAAACTTATCAATTAATAATTGGAGGATCAAAAGTTAAATATTGTAATAGTTTGAGAGCCATTGGGGCATTTTGCCTATCTTGTGCATCCGGTAGTTCTGTTAGACATGATGATGCAAGTTGATGGAAGAGTTAAAATTATATGCTTTAATTCGTTTGAGGGCTAACATTTATTAGTTAATAATTAGAAGACAAAAAGTTAAATTTTATAATAGTTTGAGGGCTAGCGGGACATTTTGCCCATAGTTTAATGATTATGTAGTTTCCATTTTGGCAACTATTTTGTCAATTTCAACATTAATACTCATAAAATGCAAATTTGAAATTCTATGGCCTTAGAGCCTTCCAGAATTTTGCCTACCAGACCAATTAGTGTACTGCTGTTATAACAATACGGCCAAAAGTAGAAGCATCTCAATTGCTTGAAGTACTTCTGCACTGATTGCACTCCTATCTCCAGCACAGGAACTAGTCAACCAATCTTCCACTTATGGGCTCTTCAGGAGATAGTAGTTACAAGACGCTTCCACAAAATGAGAAAAAACCAGTTTTAACACACACACAGTCTCAGGTGAGAAAGGAAGCTAGTGATGAGCTAGAAAGGATATTGAGTAACACAGAGGTACCATTTATCAAGCGGGTGGTACCAGCAACATGGATAGAGATCAAGCTTCTTGTTCACTTGGCTGCTCCTGCAGTCGTTGTTTACATGATAAACTACCTCATGTCTATGCTCACACAAATCTTTTCTGGCCATCTTGGAAATCTTGAATATGCAGCTGCTTCCCTTGGTAACAATGGTGTTCAAACTTTTGCCTATGGTCTCATGGTACTCTTGATCTTTCCTCAATTTATATATTTATTTGTTAACAATTAAAAAGATTTATTTTATGGTACAATCCAATTTCTTCTTCTTCTTCTTCTTCTTCTTCTTCTTTGGGACATGAACTCCTAAGAGTTTATCAGAAAAGAAGAACAAACATACATAAAGGAAGGAAAAATGCCAAAGGGTACTCCCAAATTGTATTTTACTTATTTATGTACTTGTTTGCATTTAATGTTTATGGTGGTGGGAAATTTTCAAGGACCTTGTTCTTTAAAACAATGCATCCATAAAGAAATTTTTATCGGTGTATACCTGCTTTTTGGTCCAAGAAACCAAAAATCCAGAAATAGTATTCTAGCTTTCCCTTGATGAATTTGTTGGTTCTTTGGCCTTTCTGGTACACCAACTTTTTTCTTTTTCCTTTTACCCCTGGAATTTGAATGGTCTTTATTTGGTAATTTGTCTGATTTTTTTTTTTTTCATTTCTCTGATGTTTCCTTCTTGAAGTCCAATTGTAGTTATAGAAATTGTACAATCCGTAACATTTCTTTGTTTGTAAAACCTTACATAGTTCATTTTGAGACAGAGAAAGTAGAAATTTTCCAGATTATAATTCAAGTTTTGATGATCTGATCCTCATTTTTTTTTTTGGGGGTACCAAACAGCTGGGAATGGGAAGTGCTGTTGAAACACTATGTGGACAAGCATATGGAGCACATAGGTATGGCATGCTAGGCATATATCTTCAAAGATCAGCCATCCTCCTAACTCTAACTGGAGTGTCACTTACAATCATATACATATTTTCTAAGCCTATTCTCTTATTACTTGGTGAAGCACCAGACGTTGCATCAGAAGCAGCAATATTCATCTATGGCTTAATCCCTCAAATATTTGCCTATGCTGCCAACTTCCCTAAACAAAAATTTCTCCAAGCACAGAGTATTGTAGCCCCAAGTGCCTATATCTCTTTTGGAACACTAGCTTTTCATGTCTTATTCAGTTGGCTAGCAACATATAAGCTTGGCCTTGGCTTGTTGGGGTCATCATTAGTCCTTAGTGTGTCCTGGTGGATTGTGGTTGTGGGGCAATTTATATACATAGTGAAGAGTGAAAGATGCAAGAAAACATGGGCTGGATTTAACATGGATGCGTTTCATGGACTTTGGAGTTTCTTTAGACTGTCTGTTACTTCAGCTGTGATGCTTTGCTTAGAGACTTGGTACATTCAAATTCTGGTTTTGCTGGCTGGATTGCTGGATCATCCTGAATTGGCTCTTGATTCACTCTCCGTATGGTAAGTACATAAATTCCATTAATTAAAAAAAAAGGTAGCATCTTAAAATTGTGGTTCAAATTGGGCGTTTATCATTGGTCCATTTGCACGGTTATTTTTGGAATACTACTATAAATATTGAGTATGTTTTTTATACACTATGAGTGTACAATTTTTTCTTTAGTAAGTTTACATAATGTCACATAACATGAATTCAAATTTGAAATTCAAATCATGCATATGTGATGTACATCCATGACTGTTAGTATAAAAAAAATCACTACATTGTTAGTATATAAAAAGTTAAACCATAAATATCTCACTGTAATACTTCTTTAAAATGTACATATAAGATAAAAATTAACAGAAAAAGGCGGTTCAAAAACCATTCAAAATTCCTTGAAAACATGCTATTATGTGCTTGACTAAGTTTAGTCTCACTCTATTATGCCACTCTTATTACATCTAGCTAGGTGCCCAAATTTGATCCCTCAACTTTACCATCCTACTCCTGTCCCTTGCCCAACTACTTTGTTTTTATATCATTATTGCGTTTTTGTATACTACAAATTTTACTCCTTTACTACAAATTGTGATTTTGTATACTTTATTGTGTGCCAGGTATCAGGTATGGTAGTAAAGGAATTTCAATCAAAATGGTTTTCAGCATTTAAAAATTGACAAAGTTTTTTTACTCCCTATATTTCTAACGGGATGAAGCTTCTAGATTGAGAAGAGAAGTACAAAGTTAGCAATTTACATATTGATATACGTGGCAACACCTTTAAATTTCAAATAGGATAATTTGTTGACCAGTCTATAGGTGATCTTCCTATTAAAATGCTTTCTTATTGCTTTTTCCTTTTGTATTGAGGGTATAGATCAATCCTATATGTTCTAAGCTTCTAACATCTTAATTCTTCAATTTTGCCCCCAAAGTTCTGAAAATTTTGGCTAATCTCACCCCTCTTATAGACCATGTAATTAAAACAAAGTAGTATAAAGGTAAAATTGATACAAACATTTAATTTTCTATGGAGCCAATTGAGCAAAAATCAATAATGCTCACCGAATCGATCAGTTTAACTGAAAATATTTAAGGGCTGAATTGAATTAGAAAATGATTTTTAATTAGAGTGCCAACTAGTACAATGAACACTTTTGAAGGACTAAATTGAAAATATCACTTGTTGTAGGGCTTCATTTGCAGGTTAATATGTTGAAAAGGGCTTAATTGAAATGAACTAATTATGTAGAAAAATATTACTATCTAGTCCTAAAAGTTTGTGAAAATCAATTTTGCAGTGTGAGAGTAGGCAATGAGCTTGGAGCAGGACATCCAAAAACTGCAGCATTTTCAGTACTAGTAGTGAATTGCTTGTCAACCATTTGTGCAATAATAGCAGCGATAATAGTGCTTGCGCTCCGCCACGTCATCAGCTACATCTTCACAGAAGGCGAAACCGTGGCTGAAGCAGTCTCCGAGCTCACCCCATACCTCGCGGTTAGCCTCGTTCTCAACGGAATCCAACCTGCCTTATCTGGTAATTGCATTTTGGTCCTTCAAGAAAAAAAATATGTCTTGTGTTCCAATTTGTTTGTGGTGTTTTGAAAATACAAGTTTTTAAAAATAGTGCTTTTGATTGTAATTTTGTGCTTCTCTTTTCAATTTTACCCATATAAATTCAAATTTTGAATTGGAATAGCAACATGCACCTGATTAAAAGAAGGAACTATACTAGAAGAAGAGACTAATAGAAGTTTTGACTTTTTTAACATGACCAATAATTTGAAACATTTAAAAAATTAAAAGTATAACACTTTCAATGGGATGTAGAGAGTATATAGTATCCCAATAATTGACATTTAACTAGTTTGCTAAAGTTCAAGAAATTAAGTGTAGTGGATTGTTATTTATAAAATAAATAAATAAATAAATAAAATACAATTACAAATTTAATTTTTTTATAGCTTCAATGAGAAGGTGAATTTTGCAAATGATTTGTGTTAGCATGAATTTGAAATTAAAAAAGTGATAGAAAAAGATTTACACCATTGCATATCTATACGTCTATATTCATGACATATAATTTTTATTCAATTCAAATTTTAATTTTTCGCGCATGGTGCATCATATACTTAAATTCTTTTTAAGTGCAAAAGAATTTACACTTTCAATGTTATTGAAATTATTACTCAAGTATTCTTTATTTATTGAGTTGATATTTTGTACGAAATGATTTTTGAAGGTGTTGCTGTTGGATGTGGATGGCAAACCTTTGTTGCCTACGTGAATGTTGGATGTTATTATCTTATTGGAATTCCTTTGGGTGCTTTATTTGGATTTTACTTTAAGTACGGTGCTAAGGTAACTTCTAGTCTTTTTGCATCTTTCTTTTAACTGTTTGCAAATTTTATAACCAAAATATTCTTGTTTTAGACCTTAATCTTAATTAACTCCAAGAATTTCTAATGCTTGCAGGGGATATGGATAGGAATTATAAGCGGTGTATTTCTTCAAACCCTGATTTTGTTGTGGACAACTTTTCGTACAGATTGGAACAAAGAGGTATTGGGAAAAAAATTATCCCTCGGCCCTATGGTTTTTTTTTTTTTTTGTCATTAATCTCATTTTTGTTACTCTCACAACAAATTTGGTCATTTTTTTTAGATGTTTGTAATTGTGCTTGTTATTGTGTTTCTTCTTTCATTTGTTTTTCTGGATTTCTTATTGAATTAGTGCATTTTGGTTGAATATCTGATGAACCTATTGAACTGAAATGTAGGTGGAAATTGCTCAGAAGAGGTTGGCTACGTGGGACGACCAAAAGCAACCACTCCTAAATGACGACAAGTAAACAGGTGTACTAGTTGGCTTAGCGATTAGCTTAGGGTTGCCCATGATTTATTTATGAGTAGTTTTTTTTATTTTTGTATGTATTTTAGGGTAATAGGAAAAATGTGAAATGATGATATTAGTTAGATGGCAAAACAGTTGAATAAAATCAGTAAGATTTAAAAAAATAATAATAAGTACGTGTATGCAAAATTTGGGTGTCAATGAAAGAAAGTTGTACAACCTTTGGGAAAAGAAAAAAAAATTAAATATATGCAAATAAGGCATACAGAAAAATATAAGGCTACTATATTTATATGTAAAGCAAGAAGAAAGTCCATGCATGGGTCTATAATTTCTATATTTTCTTCTCCTAAGAAATTATGTATCATGCACGCGTCTATATTTATAGGCATATAGATCAAAAAACATGATAATAGTCTATCACATACATAATATTCATATAATTGATTTTATCACATGATAATGAATTTAAGACAGGATGCAAAGTATAATATTAGCAAAAGGGGAAAAACTAAACAAAGGAAATGAATAAGAAACAACAACGTTAGTCTAAGGAAAGGATGGATTGGGTGGTTCAGATAAAGGAAGAATAACTGAATATGTGAGAGATTTCGAGTTCAAATTTTTCCACTCGAAAAAAAATACATTAATGGCTAAAGAGGAAAAGGGCCAGACGAAAACTGAGACAGAGGGCAGAGAAATTAACTCACGAGCAAAGAGGAAAACCAGTAGGAAATAAAATGATAAAATGGGAGCATTAAAAGTACTCAAAACGGTATTTTATGAAGCAGGAGCGAAAACAAAGGGGCCCAAGTTCGTACGAGTTAGAGGAGGACAGCAAGGGTGAAACATTGGTATCCACTGTACTAAAAATCATGTAGTAAATTAGAATCCACTGGACCCAATAGGGAGGAAACTATCATTATTATGATATTGAAAGTAAGAAATAAATAAATGGCGCATAAAAATAGCAAAAATGAATATGCACAAACCAATCATGAAATCATTTATTACATGTTTATTAATATAGGGCAATTGGGAACAAATTTGGTAATAAAAAATTAAACTCAGAGAAGAAAGCGTAAAAATAGTAAATTTGGCTTTCCTTCCTCTTTGTTAATCTGTTGTTGCCTAGTTTTATGTTTTTCATTATTTGAAACCCATCCAACAAAATTGGAGCTGGCTACATCCAATAAAAAAATGTTGTCATTATTATCACGCTATTGAAATTAAGAAATAAATAAATGGTGCATAAAAATAGTAGCACTAAATGTATCGAAGCATCATTATTTTTATTATAATATTGAAATTAAGAAATGAATAAGCAGTGCATAAAAATGGTAGCGCATATGATTATTATCGTGATATTAAAATTAAGAATTAAATAAATGGTGCATATAAACAGTACCTCTAAATCTATTGAAATTCTTATTATTATTATTATGATACTGAAATTAAGAAATGAATAAATGATGCATAAAAATGGTAGCATTAAATGTGAACAAAGAGGATTAACGAAGTGTCCAATCAGGGAATCTTTTATTTTTCTTGTTACTAATATAGACAAATTAAGAGCAAAATGCAAACTAAAACGTTAAACAGAATATGGCAAGCATAAAAGTACTAAACCTGGCTTTCTCTCCTCTTTCTAGGTTCATTTTTAGGCATCATCGTTCCTTGTTTTTCTTTATTAATTAAAAGGTTTTGTAGCCAATATCAGACTTCTTTTATATTTATTTTATTTATAAGAAGACTCGCTTTGGGGCAAAACCAAAATAAACTGCAGTTGGGAGGGGGCATCAAGAATCAGCCAAAGCCACTAATTAAATAGAACAAAAACAAAAATAGAAAGCAGGCAACAAGAAAATTGTCATGCACAAATTACCCTAAAAATTGGCAGCAAATTACGAAAGAACAGGCAGAACACGTCGGTGGGACGACGGACGACACATATTCATTAGTCTTTTTTTTTTTTTTCTTTTTGGAGCAAGGAAGTTTTCGAGAGTTACTCGAGAGTGGCATTCCTTTATTAACATGAAAATGCATCGGATGCATGTGATGTTTATTTTCCACTTTCATGATAAGGAGAGATTAACACTTTGGTGTTTAATGGACACTCATGGTCCTAAGATTAAGTATAATCATGTAATTTTTGGTTTGTATAGAGTGTATAATATGAAAAAATTAAGGCATTGTTATAATTTAAACACGAAAAATTGTCAATTACTGCCTTATTTGATGCCGGTTTAGATTCTTTAGTTTTCCTATGAAGTTGATGCCTTCCTGTATTCATTTGGCTCATCCTAAGAGTAGACTTTATGAATGGTTGGACCAACTGTATTCATTTGTTTCAAAACTTCGTTTGTCTTTTGTTTTTAATTTATTCCCAATTCATATAGTTGGGATCAAGTCTACGTAGTTAACTTTTATATTTCGAACTTGGGTCCATCTAACCTTAATTCAGTTCAGGTGTTATTTTTTTTTTTTTAAAGTAGTGTACGAACTACTAAAAAATGCTCATTAGGTTCCTATTAGAAAAATCCTTTGAAATTTTCTGAGATTTCTATGTTTTGAACTTTCCTTGAGGAAAGGTAAATTGGTTTATTTATCAAGCAGGGTTAATTTTCTGAATTCAACTCCACAATTTAGTAAACTCCGGATCTCTCCTCGCGTGAGAGCAACTTTCTCTCTCTAAACTGAGAGCTCTCTCTTCCCCCGTGGAAGTTCAAAATTTGTCCCAAGTTTCAAAAAACCTAATATTCAAAATTGGATCATCCTCAATTGCTTCAAACATTGGGTGAAAGTGTGTGCAAATCATAATCATATATCAAATAATGCCTTCCATTACGGGAAATAAAAGTTCTCCAGGTTAAGATTGACTCAGTTTTTGAGCTCGGAGGGCTTTTTCAGCTCGTCTTAGCTCGGTCTAGATCGTTTGAGTAAGTGTCTTCCATTTCATAGTAGCTGCGGTTACTGCAATGGCTGGAGTTGTAGGTTGAGCTCTATCCTTTTTTCTGAGTCTGGTTCTCTTTCGATCGAGTTTGGTGATCCTTCGTTTAGGAGTTTCTTCGGTTTGATGTTGTGCTGTGCTGTGTTGTGGTTGGGATCCGTGTTAATTTGTTTAAGTTCGTTTTGTTTGATTTCGTTTGGTCTCGTCGCTTTCGTTTTATTTCTGTTTGTGTCTCAGCTCATTTGTATTCTTTTGATTTTGCTGTAGCTTCGCTCGATTGTTGTTTTCACATCGAGCGAATTTAGTTTCTGTCCAGGTCTCTGTTGTGCAGGTCTGGGTCAGTGGAGGAGTGATTCTGTGGGAACCTGAGTTACGAAGCAAATGGCTGAGGATTTGGAAGAGGTGCTGAGGAAGTTTGTGTTGTCTGAAAAGGAGGCAGGAGGAATACAGATTGATGGTGAGGACGTACTTCAGAGCCTGGATGAGTGTAAGCGAAGTATTATTAGGAAGGTTTTTGGGGATAAGGTGGCTCATATAGCTGGAGTTAGAAGCTTTGTTAGTAATATGTGGATGTTTGCAAAAAATCTGAGGGTGGTGGAAATTGGAATTAATAAGTTTCAGTTTATATTCAATAATATGCATGATAGGGAGAAGGTCTTGGGGGGAGACCATGGATATATGATAATCAGCCTCTAATATTGGTGCCGTGGAGGGAAGGAATAGAAACTAAGGAGGAAATTTTTACTAAAACATGGATATGGATGCAGATTTGGAATTTACCTATGCACTGGATATCTAAGGAGGCAGGGAAGAAGATTGGGAGTATTTGTGGAGCTGTTAAGGAAATTATAGTACCTACTGGGGGGGGAGAGAAGGTAAACATTTAAAGGTGCTTGTAGAAATTGATTTGACTCAACCTCTACTAAGGGGAACAACAGTCAAAATGAATGGAGTAGGGAGATGGATTGATTTTAAATACGAAAAGTGCCCAGACTTCTGCTATTGCTATGGGCGTATGGGGCATAATGAGAGGAATTGTAAGGACAAAGGTCTATACCTAAACAAGGAGACTCAGTATGGAGTATGGCTCAAGGCCAGTGGGCCTAGAAGTCCCCATAAGAGACAATCGACTGCAGAACAGACATCAAAAATGAGGGAGGAGAATAGGTCAGATCAGGATGGAAGTAGGGGACAGGGACAGTACCTGTTGACGTGGGGATCAATGGAAGACAGCCATAGGGCAGGGGGGTGGAGGAGTGGGGTGATGACACAGTAGGAGTTAAGGATGTGTCTGGAGACAAGGAGGGAGAAGTGGGGAGAAAGGACAAAGGGATAGGGGGCATAAAGGTTAGATCAGAACGACAGATAGACAACGGTGGAACTTTAGAGGGGGATGTGGAGGTTGTGAGGGAGGAAGGGGGATTGAGGTAGTTAGGGGCCAGCTTGGAGAAGTAATTATACAGCATGAAAATTGTGAGGAGCAGGATATAATGTGGATTGATGGATGCTTGAAAACTGAGAAACCACAGAAACAGGAAGGACTCCAGGGTAGTACTGAGACTGAGGATAATAATATAGGGGTAAATAGAGGGAAGGAAAATATAAGTGGCAAATATAGAGGGAATAAGGCATGGAAAATGCTGGTGCAGGAGGTGGGAAAGAGAAAGCCACTCACTGATAGCAATGGGATCATTGGAATGGATGTGGATACTGGGAAGAGGAAATATGTGGGCAGGGAGGAAGACTGTGGGGATGATGGTAAGAGGGGAAATAAGAAGTGCAGGAAACTGGAATTGGAGGGTAAGGGGAATGAGCTAGCAAAGGTGGGGGAGCCCAACCTAAATGGGGCCCCACAGTATCCATGAGGGTCCTGGTGTGGAATTGTCAAGGTGCGGGAAGACCCTTGACAGTTTCCCAAATAGAGGAGGTAAATAGACTCCACTTCCCAGAAATTGTGTTTTTAGCTGAGACAAAAAATAAGAGGTGGTATATGAATAAACTGAAGATGAAACTTCAGTTTGATAATGTGTTTGTAGTGGATCCGGTAGGAAGGTCTGGAGGCCTGGCTGTGATGTGGAAAAAAGATGTGCAGGTCAGGAAAATTTTATACACGAACTTTACTATAGAATTATGCATTGAGGACCTAAGTAAAAGGATTTCCTGGTGGCTGATTTGCATATATGCCAGTGCAGATGATGCTACTAGGGAGCAGCAGTGGCAAATTATTGGGAGTAGGAAGGCCTTATGGGGTCATAGATGGTTGATTGCTGGGGATATGAATGACATAGTGAGTAATGGTGAAAAATGGGGAGGGATACAAAGGCCTGAAAGGAGTTTCAAGCAGTTTAGAGACTTTATTAGTACAAATGAGCTGATAGATATTGGATTCGAAGGGAAACCTTGGACTTGGAGTAACAATTGGGACAATGAGGGAGAAGTAAGACAAAATGCTGCCACATACACAATGAGGCTTCTGATCACTGCATGCTCCTACTACATACTGAACCAAGGGAAAGGAAGTGGAAAAGAAGGTTTTGTTTTGATAGGATGTGGCTGCAGTACCAGGAGGTTAATGGGGTGGTGAAGAAGGCTTGGGGAAAGGAGCAGGGGGGTTCGAGGCTATATCAGATTAAAAATAGAATAAGGGAGTGTAGGATGGCTTTATTCAGCTGGAACAGGAGCTTGAAGAGCAATGCTAGGGGGGATATAGATAGGATTAAGAAGGAGATTTAGGAGCTGCGTGAGAGTAATGTAAAGGACAGGAAACAAAAGATCTGCGAGCTAAAGAGAAAGCTAGCTGATGCATATAAGAAAGAGGAATTATTATGGGGACAAAAAGCTAGAATAAACTGGTTGCGAGAAGGGGATAAGAACACTGGTTACTTTCATGCAGTTGTTGCAGGGAGAAGGAAAAGGAATACTATTACAACATTACAGAAGGCTGGGGGGGAGTGGTGTGAGAATGAGGAAGAAGTGGTGGGGGAGATCACTGGCTACTTTGACAGGCTCTTTACCTCTTCCAATCCGGAGGAATTTGCACTAGTCATTCAGGGTATCCCACAGATCATTACTGCTCAAATGAATTCACTACTGACCAGGCCAATAACAGAGACGGAGGTCAAAAAAGCAGTCTTCTCTTTACATCCTAACAAATCTCCAGGTCCTGATGGTATGAGTCCTATCTTTTTTCAAAAGTTTTGGAATATTGTTAATCTAGATTTGATTGCTGCTATATCTAGCTTTTTCCATTCTGGCAATCTGCTCAAAGCTATTAATGAAACAAGCATCACTCTGATCCCAAAAACTGATTCTCCTGTCTTAGTCTCTCAGTTCAGGCCTATTAGTTTGTGTAATGTGGTCTATAGGGTCATTTCTAAAATCCTTGTTAATAGGGTCAAACATTTCTTGCATTGTTGTATTAGTGCTAACCAGTCTGCTTTCATCCCAGGAAGGCATATTTCTGATAATATTATGATTGCACATGAATTCATTCACTGCTTGAACAATAGGAGGGGTGGTACGAATGCTTTTATGGCCATTAAACTAGATATGGCTAAAGCATATGATAGGGTGGAGTGGGGTTTCCTTGAAAAGGTCATGTCTAAAATGGGGTTTTGCTCTACCTGGATCAACTGGATTTTAAAGTGTGTATCATCTGTGACCTATAGTTTCAATATCAATGGGGAGAAAAGGGGTTTTGTTAGGCCTTCTAGAGGAATTAGGCAAGGAGATCCACTGTCCCCTTTTTTGTTCTTATTGGTTTCTGAGGGGCTGTTCAGATTGCTCAACACAGCTATGAGGGAACACAGAATCTCAGGACTAAAAATTGCTGCTGCAAGTCCTGCTCTCTCACACCTTTTGTTTGCAGATGACACTTTAATTTTCTGTAGGGCAACACAGGAGGAAGCAGGTAGAGTGAGGCAATTGGTGGAGATGTATGGGAAAGCATCTGGACAGTGTATTAATATGGGGAAATCTTCTGTATTTTTTAGTAAGAATACTGAGGAGAGTAGTATTGAGGGGATCTTGCAGGAGCTGGGAGGAATGCAACATGCAAGGCAGAGTAGATACTTGGGGCTCCCTATAGTAATTGGGAGGTCTAAGGCACAATTGTTTAACTATATAAGGGACAAGGTGAATAACAGGATAAAGGGATGGAAGGAGAAGCTGCTAAGCCAGGCAGGTAAGGAGGTTTTGCTAAAGGCAGTGGCTATGACAATGCCAAACTATGCTATGAACTGCTGTAGGCTCCCTGTTGGACTATGTAAAGACATTAGCAGGGACATGGCGAAATTCTGGTGGGGGAGTAAGGATGATGAGAAACGAATACACTAGATGGGATGGCAGAAGTTGACTCAGGTCAAGGGGAAGGGTGGACTGGGGTTTAGGGATTTGCAAGAGTTTAACAAAGCTATGTTAGCAAAACAGTTGTGGAGGGTGATAACCAACCCAAACTTGATGGTAAGTAAGGTACTGAGAGGGAAGTATTTTAAGGGAGAGTCAATATGGAGGATGAAGCCTAGAGATTCTGACTCATGGATGTGGAGGAGTGTGATTAGTGCGAGGGAGGTGCTGGAAAGAGGGGCTAGGAAACGAATAGGGGATGGAGGTACTGTTAATATTTGGAGGGATGCATGGCTTTCAGATGGGGGTCATGGTAAAATAACAACTACAAGGCCCCATGGGTGTAAAACTCAGATGGTGAAGGAGTTAATACAAAATGGGGAATGGAATCGAGCACTAGTGGAAGGCATGTTTAATGAGGTAGATTGTAAAAGGATCCTGGCCACACCATTGAGTTTATATGGAGGGAAGGACAGAATCTTTTGGCCGCACAGTAAGAATGGGGAGTACACTGTCAAGACAGGATATGTGGTGGCTAAGGAGTTGCAACAAGTAAGGACAGAAGTAGGAGTGCAGCAGGAGAGAAGTAGTAGAAATGAGCAAGGAACTGAGGTGTGGAAGTTCTTATGGGGTCTTAATATGAAACATAAACTTAAGCATTTTATATGGAAGGGACTGCAAAATATTTTGCCAGTTAATGAGGTGATCAAAAGAAGGGTTGGAAGAGGATCTGAGATGTGTGTTTGCTGTGGGGAACAACCTGAAACTCTGGAATACATGTTTTTCTTTTGTAAACATGCAGAGTTGATATGGAAAGCTTCACCAATTTAGTGGGATGGGCTACTGGAGTTCAGGAAGAGCTTTTGGTTATGGTGGAATAGCTTAATGGAGGCAAAGGCAAGGGATGCGGGGAAGGAACACATTTGTCTCACAGTTGATAGGGTGCATTTTAGTGGGGTATTTTGGGCATTAATGCACGTTTATCTGACTAAATATTTTCATTAATTGGGTGGATTCTACTGATATTTTGTTTTGATGCTAATTGCAGGAATGGACGCTGAAAAGTACTTAAAGTCAAAATTTAGAAGATTTGTCGCTGTGGGGTTCGATTGAGAAGCTGAAGAAACTTAATTATAATAGATATTACTTTATTCTATTTAGAGGGAGTCGGGGGCTAATTTTGGAAAAACAATAACAATTGCCAGAGGAGGACGGAATCTTATCGGCTAGCTTAGGTTTTCTTTTCGGGTTGTTCTTTAAAAAGGGATTGGCCGCTGATAGGGTGTTAATTGTTGGTTATTTTATTGTTAATTTTCCCCTTAATCCTTGCCAAATATTGTTTTAATTATTAATATTTACTTATATTTGGTATTGGACTCAATTTCAGGAAGTGAAACAGAAAACTACAACAATGAGGGACTTTTTGGAGATAATTGGGATTTCAAACAGCTGGGCCCACATGGTGCTACAAAGAGATTGCATTTCCTTTGCTGATTAGGAGATTGGAGTCCTACGGGCAATAGGAAACTAAAAGCAAGGAATTCGGTAGAGCCCCACTTTTGGTTTGATTCTCAATTTCAGCAGGGGACCACAGGGATAAGAAGCTTTAGTCATTGTTGGCTTTAAAAAGGAGACAAACATACAGAGAACTCGGATCAATCAATAGTTTTAGTTTAGGCTTTTAGCATAGTTTTAGTTTTTTTTCTCTTAGCTCTTTTGCATGGTTGTTCTCCATTAATGGAGGACTAACCTCTTAATTCTAGTCAAGGGGACAACTGAAGACTTGGATCAACAATTACTGTGAGATCAAAATTATTTTAATCGCTTCCTCATTTATTGGTATTTATGTGTTTCCTGTTTTTAATTGTTATAGTCCTTATGTATGATTGATTAGTGCGCAATAATTAATTATTCATATAGGCTATTTTGCTAAATAGAGGTAATTGAATCCGTAATTGTTCGTTATCTCTATCTTAGTAGCAACTGGCGTAATTGGGTTTATGTCAGGGGTGCATATGATCTAGTTTAAACAAACCCTCGTAGCGTGTTTGTTGGTTAGGATTGGGCCTTTCTAATTATTAATGCAATCTAGAAATTAAATCCTACGGTCGTACCTAGGGTTATTTTTGGGTTAGAGAAATAGCTAACGGTCGTACCTTAGCTATCGAGAAATTAAGGAAGGGTTGGTTGTTTATCGCGTGCATGACAACTATAACTAATCTATTACTAAATGTTGGAATTATTTCTGCATCAATGATCAGTGCATGAACCATTTCTGAAGTGTACCCTTGGCTAGAGTTTTCTCTTAATTATTTCTCTTAATCAATTATTTCCTGCAGTTAATTTATTTAGTTAGTATTTAATCCAAAAACCCCCCATACTTTGGACTCTAGAAGAAACGAATTATCCCCAATCCCTGTGGATTCGACCCTACTCACCGCTATATACAAAATCTGTATTTTTCTCGAGTAGGTATTTATTATTGCACAGGTTCGGCACCTGTCAATTTTTGGCGCCGTTGCCGGGGACTGGTGCCTGATTAATTTGTTTCTTTTTGAGTTTATCTTGTTTTCATTTTTTAAAATTTTTTTTTCTCTTATTTTTTTTTATTATTTTTTTATGGCTGCTAACATTCCATATTTTGATGATAGACTGGACTTTGTTCCTGAATGGGGTTATGAGACTCATGTTTTCCCTAATGATCAATGGGCTGTTGCAAATTGTGGAACTTATTTTGACTCAGGTTATTCAACTGACACATGCCCCGCATTTCAAGATAATCTAAGTGCTCCAATTGATACTTTTGGAGATTTTTCACCCCAATATCAAACACAGTATGACCCTTATTCAAACGGGTATGATCAAGGATGGTGGGATAATTCCAATGTTGATTATGCGACCGGGCCAATGGATTTTCAACAGCAAGAGTCTCAACAACCATCGTCCATGTCAGGTATGTCTTTTCAGGAATTGGGTGAATTATTTATTAATACATACCAATTCCAACAGGAGACACAAATGAGGAATGAGATGATGAAGGATGCAATGAGTTATCTGGCAGATCAACTATGTCTATTGACATCCAGAATAAATCGATTGGCGTCTCAAAGGGAAGAATTGCCCTCGAAAACCATTGTTGATTTAGAAGAAAATGAGAGTGCAATTTGCTTGACTAGTGATGAGGAGATACAAGAGTGTCAAAATGAGAAATCTACAGATGCAGTTGAAAAGAAGCCGAAAAGGAAGAAATGAAACCCCAACCGCAACCCATTCTAATGAAGGAATCCAGTGAACAATCTCCAAATGCGGTGACATCTTCTCCACTCCTTAATCAATATTTTCCTGACTCCTATTCTTCAATTCCTGTTACTGAAATTGATTTTATTATATCAGAAAATTTGAAATTTCATGACAGGAATAAGTTAAGAGTGGTAATGGAAAAATATCTTGAACCGTTGAATGCTCTTGATGGAGGAGTGGATGAAGAATTGCGATCAATGTTTGATTGTTTGGCGCAATCTACTGGTCCATGGAAGACTGTAGTTCGTGTACTCAAGAATTACTCTATTTACGAGGGCTATCAGGATTACATAGAAGATGAAGCACTGAAACGAGCTGCACGATTTTATCCTCCATGAATGAACATGAAAGTGTCTAGCCAAAGACATTAAAGAAAGGCGCTACTTGGGAGGCAACCCAAGACTGTTTGTTTCAGTTTTCATGCATTTTTGAAGTTTTAGTTAAGTGTTAGTGTCAATTAATAGTTTGATGTTTGGTGGCAGGAAATTAGTAGTTGGACGTGCCCACGCCAGGTGGTCACGCCTGAGGGAAAGAAATTTTCGTTCAGGATCTGCGGACTCTATAGCAGTTAGACGTGCCCAACCCAGGTGGTCACGCCTGAGGGAAAAGAAATTTTCGTTCAGGATCTGCGGACTCTATAGCAGTTAGACGTGCCCACGCCTAAGCCAGAGGTTCCTTGAAAAAAAAAATCAAAAATTCAAAATAAAAACATTTTCCATTTTACACCTTCAGTTTTGGTTCTCACAATTCGAGTTTTGAAATTTGAGTGTGCAATAAAAAATAAAAAATAAAAAAACTATTTTTTTCCCTTCTTTTTTTTCTTCTTTCTTTCTTTCTTTCCTTTCCTTTTCTTCTTCTTCTCCACCGCTTCCCCTGTTTTCCCCCTTTTTCTTTTTTCCTTTTCGCGCGCCGCTCCACCATCACTACAGCAGCTGTCGCCGCCACTACCAACCCGCGACCGCCACTGACCAGCCGCGCTCCACCAGCAACTGCAACCTCGCGTCTGAAGCCGCCGCCACCCTCTTCGCCGCTCTCTCCACTCACCAGCTCACCACCACGCCGCACGCCGCCAGCGCTGGAGCCGCCTACCACCTCACCCACGCAGCTCCTCCTCCTCTTCACGACCATCGCGTACTGCCGCGCGTCGCCCAAGCCCCACGCTGCCGCGCCCTTGCGCGCAGCCTCCCCTGCGCGACCTCCACCAGCTCCACTCTCTTGACCACCTCCACCTCAACTCAACCTCTACCAGCTCGCCATCGCCGCCACTAGCTGCTCCGCTGCTCGCTCCATTCCCACCTGTCCAAATTGACAGGTGGAGGTATTGAACCTTCAACTTCGATTAGTATTTTTTTTCTGGTTCTGCTTTTGCTAGATTTTGCGCTTGTGTGTCTGGGTTTCTTGTTGGATAACAGAGGGGGTTGTTGTGGGCATTTTCTAGGGTGAATTTTGGACAGATTTGGGTCTAATTGCTACCATATGTGGGGATATTTTCTGATATTTGTTGAATTGTTGGCCGTCTGACCTTCCCTGTGTGTATACCAGTGGTACTGGTTGGAGTGTTTTGTTTACATTCATTGATTTTATGTGGTCGCCTGTCTGATTGCAAGCTAATGACCTTGTACTTCTGTTGTTGTTCGCATTTTCACCTGTGGTTGCTGAAATTGCCAATTTCTGGGGTCATTTGCTACTTTTCACAGGTTGGATTTCTTGTTGGATCCAAGAGGGTGATAATTTGGGCATTTTCTAGGGTCAATTTTGGGACAAAATTACGTTTATTTGCTGCTTCGTTTGGGGATATTTTCTGGCATCGATTACATTATTGAGTTGGCCATTTGCTTTAGTTTTTCCCTGTGACTCACCAGTGGTACTGGTTGAGATTTTTGGCCTATCGTTGTGGCTCCTATTTGAAGATTCTTGCTTATTTGAAAGTTTAAGTTCTTGTGATTGGGTTGCTGCGTTGAATTTAATTCTTTCCTGTCTGTGCACCAGTGGTACTGGTTGCAGTGTTGCTTTTCATTTCTTAATCCTCTATGCTGGACTGCCTATTCGATTCTTGAGTTTTGGTGCCTGAACTGTCTCTCGATTCTTACCATTAGTTGTTGGAATTGCTGGTTTCTTGGCCAAATTGCTAATTTTGAGCGTTTGACTTGGGTATTTGACTGTCCAACTGGTGACATTTGTTGCGTCCTTTGAAGTGCCTTTGGTTGGGTATTTTCTGCGTTTGTTTGTTGAATTGGAGGGCTACTGTGCCACGTCCATTACTTATTGCTGTTGGTGGCGTCTAATTGACTTGCTGGGAGTATTTTACCTATTGATTTCAATTGCTAAATCTTTAGAGCATTTGTTGCGATTTTGGACTACATTGTTCCTGCATTTGACCCAATTGGGGCCACCAGTGAGTATTGATTGAAATTGCTGTATTGGTGGGATATTTGTATAGTCTCTAGGTGCCTGGGTTGTGCATTTTGTTGATTGGGTTGTCTACGAGGGAGGCACCAGTGGCTATTAAATTGTTATTGTTTTGAATTTGCTAAGTGGCATCTCCCACTGATGGCCTCTGATGCTCAGTGGATGAGCGAGTAATGCATATCGCCAACTAGGTGGCTCCAATCCCTAAGAACCTGGCCGCGTATTTCCACCTGAACCGCCCCTCTTTTGATGACTTCAGGGAAGTACCGTTGCCCCTCTCCTTCCTTCTACTTTTACATTATCACATTGAGGGCAATGTGTCATTTAGGTGTGGGGGGGGGGGAGATCAGTTGGGGTGCTACTATTTTTGTTTTTAGTTTCTAGGGGCTTTTCCTTTATTTTTAGTTAGTTTTTGCCTATCTTTCATTTATTTTATTTTTTTTTTCTTTCTAGTGGTCAGTCCTTAAATGAATACCAAGTTTTGATGCTGGATTGTTGCCTCTAATTATGCTATTGCCAAGTTTTATTAATAAAAGGGTATTAAATTAATGTGGTTGAGTTCATGAACATTTCTCCGGTGAATATCGGTAATTGCTTGACTTTTTCAATTTTTGGTTAATTTTTCTAGGCATAGGGAATGATAGTTGGCATTTTTTATGTGAATTGGTCCAGTTATTAATTTTAGTTCCCCATATTTGAAAATTTGAGGCTGGTTGCTGTTATTTTTGTGTTATTTTTAGTTATTGTGCTGTATGGTTGTAAAT